CGTGTTGGCGCATCAGAGTCGAGGACGAACGCGGTGTGTGGTTGGGTGCGACGGGAGAGCAGACGGAAGATATTTCAGCCGCACTGGTAATGAACTGTGGGGGATGTAGTACTAATGAGCGGAGAACACTTAAGTATGCAGAGAGTTTGTAGAGGTTTGTGCCACCCAGAGTTCTAGAAATATACGCGATGTGACGGCAACGCCAACCACTTTCTTTTTTTATCTACTCCAATTATCCAAGCCTTTCTGAGTCGGCCTGACCCTTGCAGTATATCTCCGTCGACGCCCTCCGATGCACTGCTTGCATGACAATCGCTTGGCGAACCTGTTGCGAAACGTTCCACAACCCTGTCAATCTTTGTACGCCCGAAAAATCCAACCTTTCTAACCACCGGCCTCCAGGGAGGAAAATATTGGCATTTTTCCTTCCATCTTCCCAACCGGCAATATCGACTCTCCACCAATCGCGTCTCTCTTCCACGCTGTGGTGCCCTACTCTACTCTATACACATTAATGACCACCCGACTAATCATCGCAACCCCACCACATCGCACAAGAACATGCGGAAATGATGCGGCGCTCTGTCAGAACGAACCTGTCAGAGCCAATGAACGAGTCCCCACGTGCGCATTGTGGAACAGCCGGTTGCCGGGGTGCCGATCTACTACGTCTATTCCGGGTATAGGGGAGATCCGCTCGATTTGGCTTGCAAGGATTAAATCGCCCCGTGCACCTGCATTTGCACCACCGCAATAATTCCGGGGTTCGATTTTTGAGCGGGATAGAGAGTACTTTGCAACCCACTGATGCCGAGGTATATTGTGCGGTCTTCTTGTGTATGACGTTTTTCTTTTTCCAGGCAGCAGTTGCAAAAATCTTGAAACGGGGTGAAGCTGGCGCCTTGCATGAGGAAGTTAGTGTTGTGTAGTATGTCCGGGTCGGAGGTGGGGGTGTATAGTAATCCAAAGTTCGAACACCTCTGCGCGTGCGGCAAATATAGATGCCGCGGCAACTCTGTGTAACTATGGCACGAAAGTTTTTAGGCCCCTCGTGCACCAACGAATGCGGTGTTACGGCTAGATTAAATTTAGCGAGAGTTCGATCTTTCGTTTGGTTGGCACGCTGGGCTACTATATCGTAGGGTATTATATATGCGGGCTTGCCCCTTGGCTGGATCCGCGAACCGGGGTACCGGTGACACGGTACCCTACAGTAATTACCATACAGGGGATAATACAACTCTAATTAGACTTCCGCATGTACCATGGTTGTACGGACTAGGATCGAAAGGGGATAGGAAATGGGTGTGGCGAGATGGAGATTGCGGAGAACGGAGGTTTCTACCAGCGCAGCAAATGGGTTGGGTGGGGAAATTGGGACGTGAAAACTTTAGCCGCTGGGGATGAGAACTGCAGCTTTAGATCATACATGACTGTGATTGGGGATCTGACAGCCTTCATATCTTCCGCTTATGAAATCGGAAATATCTTTGCGTGGGTTAGGGTTAGATCCATCACTATTACTAGGCTCTTGAATATCCGCTCTGGGAGGGCGGGATAGTTACACAAGGCATCCGTTATAGACTACGCGGCAACTGCCTCGATTCGCTTGGGCTATTGGAAACGCAAGGGAGCGCATTGTATGAACAAGTCCCAGAACAGCAGGTGAATGATCGCTACCACCACCGGCCACACAATGAATTAATCTAGATATGTTAGACAATGAGAAAGTCGAACTCCATGCCTAAAACGCATTGCCAAACTCAAAGCCGCTTCAAAGACCCCTCTAATTCCGGAAGCACGGTGAACTTTCCAGGGTTCCCGCACCGGGTTGGTGAGTGCTGCGGTATATTCGACCCTCTGAGGCGATAGCCCTCCCAAGTGGTAACCCTCGCAGGATGGATATGCGAGTGAAGTGCGGCGGTGGTAGTTACGGCAGAAGAGGACTCTTATGCGGATCATGAATGACTACAGCCTGCTGGACTAACAGAGTTTGGCTCGCTCGTGCGAGAACCACTTGATCCGAAAATAGAGTTTGAACACACATAAGTGAAGACGCATGCTGAGTCTACATAGTATATATGTCGCTGCACCCCTTATATTATCCCCCCCTCCCCTCCTGCCTTCCTTGTCTTCCTCCAATTTCCTCTCGGTCCTCTCGACAACACACCATGTCCCTCCCTCCTCCGTTATTGTATCAGTACAAATGTAGTCGTGTAGAAAGCTTCATTCCCGCTTTCATACAGTTGCATGAACGGGCCTGTTCCTCCGCCGCCACCGAAGCCGGTGTACTATGAGGTTTGCTGGAAGGGAGGAGCTCCGCAGAAAGCAAATGCGCTACGGCATTTAAGGTTGGGTCGTATGCTGTTTTGGTGTATTTAAAGAAGGGGAGAATTTGCTATGGCGTTGGGGATTGCTAGTAGAATTTGCAAGTTAGGGCAGCAAGATTTGCGGTCGGTTGGCTGAAGGGATGATGCTTGCTAGGTCTGAGGGTTGATAATCTAATATTCGTTGATTCGGTTGCACAGCAGATCCTTGTTTGCATTCATTGATTGCAACGGCGGTAGCGTTGGGGAAACGGAAGCTAGATTATATCGCTCAAAATGCGCTGTATTACGCTTTTTCGGCCTGTAATCAACATTTTCACGCTCAGCACTGCCAACACACAAGCGCCAACGGCTACCGCAATAAGCGCCTAAATAGCGATTCGGTACGGTGTACGTAATACGAAGGCTTCAAATTCGGTTTTGAGCATTCTTTTTGTATGCGTTCGGGATTATGGGAACTCAAACTTCAGTGGTTATTAAAAATGTCTAGAAATCAGAAATAGGCCAGGGATTTAGTTTACTTATCAAATAGTGAAACACAGTTATATGATGGTTACAGCGATCCTGCTTTTCTTTCACATGTTTCGAACAGTCGGTTAGGACATGATATCCAGCTAGCTCCAACCTTTGTATCAATACAGTTACAAAACATGAACAAATAACAGCTACGGTCATAGAGTTATGAATACGAGGCTTCCCGTCCGCTCAGCCATATCTAAGCGTAACAGCGCCAGGTTAGTACTGCAGTGGGTGACCATGCGGGAATCCCTGGTACTATAGTTTTGGTACTTTTTCTAGCTGTGCTTTGGAGGTCTCAAAGTCACTTCGGAAAATAGATGTTCTTACTATGCTTTAGATAGATGCATCGGGGTGCAGGATAATGGGGATGACCTGCGAGATGTATTTTTAATTTACTGCATCTTGGATGTGCTATAGTGATCTTCATATGTAAACGGACAGTATTAAGATTTGTCTCGCTCTAGATACTGTACAGACGATATTCACTTGCAATGAACTCAGGGAAGAAACATGCGATGCAGTTGTCATCAGTCATCACTCGTTATAAAAATTGCGATTATTAAAGAACTTATACATCATCGACTTCAACTTCTCAGGCATACGAGCTCATCGGAGTTAATAAATATAAGCAGTGCGTATACTACGCTTTCACATAGAGCCACTAAGTTTTATTACTTTTGCCCAACCTCCATATTATAGTGAAACTTCATTAACTTTCTTATAACAATTTTATAGCTGCCACTATTGTTATAATGGAACAGGAATTACTGCCTTATATCAGCAGTATTGTCTAATCATGTTTTAGCTGCGGTTGGGGATGGCCGAGCGGGGTGTTTTTTGTTTGAATCATATTGTATTCACCCCCTAAGGGGGCGCCCAGTTTCGTTACCTAACCGGCCATCCTCGAGAGGACATGACATAATCCATTTATCCCTGTGTACTTCAACAACGTGAGCTCGTTGTGTCCACCAAGCCTTGTTATCTCCAAGTCGTACCACCCTTATCTCCTTCCCCCCATTTCCGCCGGCACACTAAACCCTCCAATCCCACCCATTCCCCACCCACCATACCACCTAAACTTCCCTCTCCCATGCAGGGTCTCATCGATGTCATCGCAGTGGAATACCCCAACCGACCAATCCCCTGTCCGTTCCGCCCCTCCCCCTACTAGGATGTGGTGAATCGACCAGCATGCTTGTTGAATGCGCAGAAGGTGTGTTGAGTTCTTAGTCATGAGTGTTTTCGGAGCGCCTGGGGGGCAGGCACTGGGATTCGAACCCATAGCATGCAGCATAGTAGTACAGCTTCTCATAAGATCATCAGCATGATACCACTACACTACGGGGGCCCGCCCGCCGAGCGGGGTGTGGCGGTGACCACAGCGGCGGCGCAGGCGGAGGGCAGTGACGGTGGCAGTGGTGGCGGCCGTGGTGGCGGTAGTGGTGGCAGTGGCGGCAGTGGCGATTCTCCTCCCCAGAGTCACACTTAGAAGTTTTATGTATAGCAAGCAAACAATCTCAACAGTCATAGGTCAATCGTGGTTAGCAGCTCTACCCATAATTCCATGGATAATGTGGTTTTCACGAGCTGGATAGTCCAGGACGGAAGTGTTGAAACTCGGACTGTGGCCAAGTAACTGCGCCCTGTGGCTAAGTCACTACACTGCTGTAAATGAGTAACTGCGCCCGTTCCAGATTTCTCTGGATTCCACAGTAGGGCATACTTATGTACGGTATCACCTATTGATGTAACCTACATTGTCCATTATCTTTTGTTCGCTGACAACACCCGCTAGACGGCGATAGTCATTGCTCTTTCTGTTGAGAGCAATCAACAAAGAAATGAAAGATGCTGAATTGTCTATCGTACAAAGAGTGAATAAGATAGACAAATATAAGAAAATATATCATACCTAGAGTGAAGTACCACTCCGGACCGAGAGCTGTACCAAAGCCCGTGGTAATCAGTGAGTGGTGCCAAGCCCGCAGGAATCGAAAAGCTACGTAGCGCACCAAGCTTAAGGTTAGTACCGTACCAAGCCCGAGGTTAGTGAAGAACCGAGAACCTACTGTCTAGTCCCGACTGCCTTCGGGTTAAATCCGTAGTTAACGCTTTTTTTGGATATATACTGTATGGTGAGTGAGACATACGTAGTCCTCAGTAGTATAGTGGTTAGTATTTCCGCCTGTCAGTGTAAGCAACGCGGGAGACCAGGGTTCAATTCCCTGCTGGGGAGGTGTTCTTTTTGCTGTTCATTTGCTGTTCATTTGTGTGAAGTTATAATTCATTACTGCTTTGTGTTACACGACGATGAAGATGAGAAGCCCGGAGGCTAGGCCAGGTTATTGTTGACGGTAGTACGGCTAGAGCTTATACTACCCTCTCTTTTGACACGTTGTTACACATCAAATTGGGAAGTAAGAGACCTTGAAACGATGTGAAAGGATAGCGGGGGTTCTTAGTGAGTACACATATTGTAAAGCCGGGGGTGGTGACAGTGAAAGTAGCTGTGCATAGGACGTGGTGTTCTGACACTCCTAAGAATACAACCTCAGCATTTGGGACAGCCGTAGAGCTTTATAAACGAGATATTCCAGGTATTTCTCAAACCATTCCGCAAACGAGAATGTTCACCGTCATGGATTATCACCCGGTTTAACTTGCCACTACCGAAATTTCGATTGCCACATGATAGCTCTACTGCTCTCTAAGACAAGGGTGGTAGTTATATATAACGGGCTAGCTAACAATCTAGTTGGTTGACTTAGGGATTATTGATTGAGCATTATATTAATTATTCCGCTACTCTCTTGGCCCAAGGAATGCGGCAAACTCCCGATTGCCAGCCACATGGAAGTAACAACGTTCTGGATAATATCCCAGCCGTGAACTTCAAACAAAAGGCATCAATCGCTACTGGAATCGTTAACATTGTGATTCATTATATTGTATAGTTATTGTTAAAGTGAGCTAGAGACCGAGATGCCGAAATATGACTGGCTAGGTCGTCCTGGGCGTAACGACTATAGCTTGCTAAATTTGACGCGAATGTCAAATATTTCATAACGGCAGCTGATGGGATGATGGTAACGATATACGCTTCTAACAGAAAATCGGAGTAGAAGGCTGCATCACAATTTGTCACTACGCACCTGTCATTCACGTTTTTCTGTATATGTGTGAACTATCATCGGAGTCTAATTAAATAACTACGCGGCTTATGAAATCTATATCTACAAGGATCTCTTATATTTGCCTGCTACTATGTTCCTTCGGTCCGTCTATGACAGTAAAAAGAAGTAGTGTAATCGAGCCCAGCTCTGGAATAGGTATCGCACGAGGTAAACTCGACTTCGAACTCCCTTCCACTGTACTGACAGGTCATTCTGGCATAAGTCCACTTGAGGCCTACCAGCTGGATCGACAGTAGACATCACAATTTTACGATGTTTCTCGTTTATTGGAGCCATATTTGGTTCTCCCTGTTTAGTTTTATCCATGAGTTCATGATGAAATCTCCAACCGGGGAAGTCCAGACTCCAGAAAACGGGAGTGAACCGATATTTAGCTCCTCTCTCTTGCTTGCAGGCTGAGTTTCCGCTTTCTTTGCAGCTAACTTTGTATTATACTCACAGTGTCCGTATTCACTGTATATCATTGCTACTTGAAGCTGGCGGCTGTGGAGCCTATAGTACTATTGCAACCGTCTCAGACAAAAGTATCTTCTATGCATGGTCATACTAGAAATATTGCATGCAACTGGCATATCAATAAAAATTGAAGGAAAATATGTCCTATCGGTAGTCGAACCGAGATTGCCGGAATCAGAATTCGTGGTGTTAATCATTACACTACAGAACTGGCATCAAATGATGAGATGGAAATGGTGTGGGCTATTAATAGCTCCTGGGGGTGGTATCCCTTTGACAGGGGAAGATTTGGAGTTGGGAGAGCTTTGTTGAGCATTACGTGATTTCTTGGCTATTACATGGAATACCATTTTTAGTATAGATTATTTGACACCATCAATAGTCTCCTTTCTCTTGCTTTTCATCTTTAGTACGTATGAGAAGAAAGATGTTGAATTGTTTGCCATATAAAGAGATAATACGGCAGGCTTATATAGAGAGAAAGAGAATACTATACTCGAGGATGCCGAGTATCATTCCCGAATACATGCATCACAACCGAGACTAAGCCTACTCCTCAACAATTTGGGGAAGATGTACGCCATGCCCGCAAGCGGGCAAATACAGTATCATTACAAACAAACAAATGCCGCGTGGATGCATGAAACATGTGGGATTCTCGTACTTTCCCGACACAGTTGGATAATCCTTGTGTCTGAATTGGGTTAGGGTTCAATAATGAATGTAATGCATATTCTTGAGGCAGTCCGTTTTTTTCACTAGCCGACGATAGTTTGGCATATCCTCTGCACGACGTTGTTCACCGCATTTGCAGTTGCTAGTAAGGAATCCCAAATCCCACAAGTCATACAAGACTTATGGAAAACTAGGCCCTTGCAATACTTTCGATGGCCCGGCTTCCCCACCGGTCACGATGGACTCGGCATTGAAACCTGTCAGCTACTGTTACTAAGCCCGAGGCTGTCTTTACACGATGTACGAATGCAGTGCAATAAGATAGACTACTAAACATAAAAAATGACCTAGCTAACCGAATGTACGTGGTTGAGGGCGACTGTAAGTCTGCTTATCTGTGTGAATGTAAAGTAATAACCAGCGCCCTTGCAGCCAGTTGACCCCAATCAACAACTATTGCAATCTTGATACCAAATCCACAACCTATGACCGGAATTCTACCACTTCCGTGTGTTTCCTCTTCTGTGCAGAGTCCTCGGGACAGTAGCTATCACACACGGTAGATATTCGTCGGCTTCGTAAACATTTACGAGTGCACGAACAATGTCCAAGCATCCCTTTTCCGCCGCCCACGACAATGCCGTCCGACCATTTGCATCCGTAGAATCAACTTCCACCTCAGGCTGCGATGCAACGAGATGTACAATCTCCAGATGGCCATTTCGGGCGCTCTATAGGAGCGCGTTTGTGCCGTGGATGTTAGTCGGATTGCCGTCTACCGCGTATTGTTCAAAAGAAGGCGCGCGGTATCTTGGTGACCATGGCGCGCGGCCCAGAACAGAGACGATGTCACATTCTTATTCTTCGTGTCAGGCTGGCACCCTGCTCGACGAGGAACCGGATAACATCGTTGTGGCCATAGCGGGCAGCTTTTTCTAGCAGCGTCATGCCATATTGACCTTCGTGGTCGACGTCATCGGGTCGTCTACAAGTATTTGAACCGTCTCGATGTGACCGTTGCGAGCTGCCCAGGTTAGCGGTATGCGGGCTTCCAAATCCTGGGTGTTGGGGTTTGCGTCGTGGTCATCGAGGAGCATTCGGTCGATATTCGAATATCTTTCTGACGCTGCATAGTCTAGAGCTGTGGCGCCTGTTGGCACAGGATTTGGCCCGATGGCTTGTGTGGCTTTCGGCCTAAAGCTGCGGGCATGAGGCTGGTGGCTTGCGGCCCCCATGGGCCGCCACCAGCCCCAATGCCGAGGAGTAGGTACAGCCCTGGCAGTGATGCCCGGCATTGGTCTCCGGATGTGATACTCGGCTTCGCCGAGTATGCTCTCTCCTTTCCCATATATTTGCCTGTCTTTTTCTCTCTCTTTGCTCTTTAGACAATTACTTTGTACGATAGTCAATTCAATATCTCTATTCGTACTCGATTGATCTCAACAGCGCCCTCATGGTCCTTCATCTCTACGTTAACGTCGTCGTGATTCATGAGAAATCGAATAATCTCTTCGTGACCCTCTGCCACAGAGTATATCAGCGGTATTGCGCCGTTATTGTCGCTTAAATCCAGTGTTCCCGACAGGCCCGGCCGGCCCGCAGTCAGGCCCGTGGCCCGCAGGCCGGGCCAGATGAGGCCTCTGGATTTTAGAAACTGCGTAGGCCAGGCCGATGATTTGAAAGCCGGCGGTAAAACTGTGGGTGACTGGGTGAACTGTTGGCTTTTAGTGCCAGCACGTGACCAGATAAGCGAGCCAATCACTTTGCTGGACTTGGACGTAAGCAATTTAATTGGTCGAGGGGCCTGGCTGATATTGCCACCGAACGAGTGTAACGTTAATCTTACCTTGGAACGAGAGGGTCTGATTGCCGGTATGCATACTAAATTCAATGAGATGGAGCGTATGTTGGATGCATTGCATCAGGAATCGATGGCAAAGGAGAAGTAGACCCAGGAGAATGTACTACTAGATATATATATTTGAAGTTTTACCCCCGGCCTACAGTTACCTGTAGTCCAACTGCGGGCTTTTCCGCCCATGGTTTACCCAGGCGCCTGCAGTTTCCACCTGCTGAAAGCCTGCCAGGTGTGGGCCGCACACATGGCCCGGCCAGGCTTACCCCTGAAACTGGCCCGCCTGGCCCATCAGGATCACTGCTTAAATCCGTATATATTGTTCTAGTCCAGTCACGGAGGATGTCCCTCCGCGGAGAGACCGGTCCATTCACGGAGTCCCACCCTCAGTGACTGGACTGGTTCAATCGCGGAGTGTACCCCTGCACCCCACCTCCGTGACTGGACTGGTTCATTCGCGGAGCATACATAGAACGTGCTAAATACACTCAACGCCGTGGTGCAACTACAATTACAGTATGCTCCATATCCTAACTTGAAACCAGCTCTTCATCTTCGATGCCTTCTTCCTGTACATCGTCCTCTTCCTTCTCGCCCACATCTTGGTACTCTTCAAGATCCTCTCCTTCCTCAAATTTCAATATCCTGTTCTGTCAAATCACATTCGTCGTTTTCCTCTGCACCATTGCCAAACCGTACGAGTTGCTTTCAGGCTGTTTCAGGCTATCACCGTCGCGAAAGCAAACCCAGAAGGTGTCAGGACTCAGACGGGAGCCAACTTCGAAAGTTCGCTGACTTTCGCTGCATATTTCATTTTGCGCAGATACACTTTCATGCTTGCTTGCAGATGAGGCTGCAGCAGTATACCCAAGGTTATCCGTCATGGTACACTCCAGGTTCAGCCGCCAGCAAAGAGGTCAGAAGCTCAGGTCTGCAAGTGAAGCTCAAGTTCTCGCCCGCATCCGAAGCTCAAGCTTTGGCCAGCGGTGCAGCTCTGGCCAATTTGAAGCTCTGGCCAGCAGACTAGCCAGCCTGCTAGCATGCGGACTTAACTCA